TCGACTACTAGATCGGCAACGTCACTAGGACACAACCGTACCGTAAAGCATTATCATCACCTTTACTTGGTGCCCTTCGAACCATAGATCGGTAAAACAACGGGCCTGGAACCAAAAATGTCAAGAAGTGTCTATGAAGAAAGAAATGCGTTACAAATTATTTTATGTTCCTACAGGAGCATATAACGAGTTGGAGCTCCAAAAAGATCGTTCGCCATGAAAACGACGTGGTTCTAGTGAACAAATGACTTGAAAGGCATCTGGTACTGAAGAAACCCAAACCATGAAGCCCTGGTGTGTTTAAATGACCTTTCCTTGCCAACTAGGAGCAAAGGGGTTGTGAAATACATAATGAAATCTGCTACTGAAGAAGTTATGCATTACCTAAAATCGTATTTATTAAATGCTGAATTTTTATTCATTAGACCGAATGGTCAGTTGAAAAACAGCTGTTTAAAATGTTTTCAATTCAGACGATTCATAAAGACTTACGTTGACTGAAGGTTAGCTTGAGCTCTGGCGGCGAGCTGTTCGCTTCCTCGAATAGACTGTTGACGAAAACGCCCGGTTGCTCGTTGTTGCCAATTTCACGGCGCCCGTTCCTGGAGTCGACACTTTCTTGAAGCATTGGTGGTGGCAGACAGTACCTAATAAAAAAATAACCATAAACTAAAGAACACCAGATGTGTTTAACAAAAAACATGGTCCCAAAAACCTATCAACGTCATAACGAAATCTAATATGGAACGATACGTTGGCCAGCGCGACAACGACGGCGGAGACGATGCGAAGGAAACGAGACACAGAAAGGGCGAGTGACATTTTAATAGTACGAACAAGCAAAAATTAATCTACATCAGAGCGAGCGAGTAAATGAGAGACAAGAAGTCAATGAACAATCTAACTGAAGGTACGTTGTTACGCGCGAATTTGACGATAATTACCAACCGCCGATCATCTCGGTTTTACTATCATATCAAAGACCGCACAGAAACGACGTCAGCGTCTGCAAAGCGCTGCACGCCCACATCGTAAATCTATCGACCAGGCACTAGAGGACAGAGGGCGACCATCAGATGCCGAGGTACATGAGTTCGTCGGTGACCGAGTTATCGGTGGCAGTCGCGTCCTGCGCTGAGAAGTGGTCCTCGCAGTTGGCCGACGAAGACGGCGGTGGCATCGGCGGTGGAGCGGACACAGGCTGGTACTTCAGCAGCTCGCACTGGTCGACGAACGCCGAACACAGTGGGAAACGTGCATGACACTGGTGCATGTATGCCGTTACGACTGCGCTGTCGCAAGCGCCCAACTTGCCACTACTCAAGTGCTTTAGCACTCGCCAGCAGGCCTAAAGTAACACTGCTTTTAACAACGCAACAAATATGATAGACCAAAAAGAATTACAAATGTACAAGCAGACGAAGGTCATGCGAACTTTAATGAAAAAGAACTTAGACAAAAAGAGGAAACTTTAATACTAGGCTAAAGCAAAATTGGGAGTAATTCATTATAGTTTTAAACCTATGTAAGACCGTCGTAGTACGAAATTTAATAAATCAAAAATAGTGAAGTAAGAAAACCCTGTTTAATTTTAAATTTAGAAGGAA